CGTGCTGCTTTGCATTTTAAAAGGTTCCTCCTGCTGTTCATGAGCCCATTAAAGTTTGTCATATTGATTCGAGTGGGTTTATAGTTTCGTGCAGAAACATTTTCACTCTCCCTTGAGAACTGAAAGATTAAACCATTGCAAACAAATTACTTTCTTTAAGTGATCCTTAAAAGATTTTAAAGGAATATATCAGGTTTAATACAAGTTAAACGATATATAATTTCTCAGTTTGTAAAACAAATAAGCAAACATAAAATCAATATATAAATTCATAAATGATATACGATCTTCAATACATATACTGTATAATATAATTTTGATATTTAAAACAATAAAATAGAAAAACCTATTTATATTAACTTCACAAAGTAGAGATTACAATATATGTGCAATGTAATTTAAATTGACAAATATAACTTCATACATTTTTTATTACATATGATTATTAATATATTTCAAACATTATATATTAATGTATAATGTTTTTTTAAATAAACAAATCTTTCAGTTTGTAAAAGCTTCATTTACAGAAATCATTTACACTGCAAGGGGTTTCATGGGGATAAACATTATATTTAGCGATAGACCAGTTTATATCCAGCATATATTAATCAAAATCTAAAATACACAGTTTTAGATGCAAGTATAAGCACAAAACTTCAACATTATATTTGTTAATATGAAACTAGAGTGATAAAATCACATCCAGACCTGAACTCCTCTCATGAAAAAACAGCAAATCCAGTAACTTTTGCAGGATATAGACCAGAAGAACACCTGAATGGGACAGTTTACATGAAAATCCACCTAGAAAAGAGAATCCATTGCAAAAATGACGATTTATACACTTCACAGTGCAAAAACACACATTTGTGCAGGTGCTTTAACACAAACAGGCCCATAGACTTAGAAAGTGCATTAATGTAAAGCATTTTTTCCAACCTGAGAGACGAGGTAAGATATTTTGCATGGTGACTGAAAGCATGTCACCAATGCAGTGCACAGAGTTTAACTTGTTTTGAATGTGGAACATTCCTTGAAGCCCATTTTGTGTTTTCGAGCACCTTAAAGCAGCATTCAAAATCTGTCAACAAATATGATTTCATATTTGCCTGGACGATTGCACACTGACAGCTGACACAGCTGGCTGAATGTAAACAGTCCGTCATCATGATGCTGTTTACATCCACATCATCCATCTGAATCACACTGAATGCATCTGAACGCACTAAGTGTAGCATAATACAATACTGATTCTGTGCTTCTGCATCTTTTCCCTTGTTGTACGCCTGTAAAACACACACTACAAAAATATCTGCCTATGGGAATTATCTGAATAATAAACAGTAAGAAAGTGTGTAAAGATGTAGCTGTAATGATGGAGACAATAATTACTTTTGATTACAGATGGAGATGTAATCAATACAGCTTTACAATGAGTTTTGTGATCATCATCACACTGACGGGTGACATGAGGAGTGAATTTATACTGATGCTGCAGAGTACAGGGATGAATCTATCAATCTTAAATGAAAGTTCGAGTAGATGCATTTTTAAAATTGATTTTATTTTATTTAATCTACTTCCTTAATTTGAAATTGCAATTCTATATGATAGATAGATGGATGGATGGGCGGACAGATAGATGGATAGAGAGTCAGTCAGGCAGTAGGATAGATAGACAAACAGATGGATAGATAGATAGATAGAAAGATGGATAGACAGACTGACAGACGGACAGACAGATGGATAGATAGACAGGCAGATGGACAGACAGATGGATAGACAGACAGACAGAGGGACAGATGGATAGATAGACAGACAGACAGACAGATGGACAGACATGGATAGACAGACAGACAGACGGACAGACAGACAGGCAGATGGATAGACAGACGGACAGATGGATAGACAGACGGTCAGACAGACAGACAGATGGACAGACAGACAGACAGACGCATAGACAGTCAGATGGATAGACAGACAGACAGACAGACAGACAGACAGAAGACAGACAGACAGACGGATAGACAGTCAGATGGATAGACAGACAGATGGATAGACAGACAGACAGACAGACAGACGGACAGACAGTCAGATGGATAGACAGGCAGACAGATAGACGGATAGACAGTCAGATGGATAGACAGACAGACAGACAGACAGACGGACAGACAGTCAGATGGATAGACAGGCAGACAGATAGACGGATAGACAGTCAGATGGATAGACAGACAGACAGACAGACAGACGCTAATTCATTTTTCACAACATCTAATCCAGACTTCAGCAAATGATCCAGTAGTTGTTTCTCTCACACACACACACACACACACACACACACAAACACAGATGGACAGATGGATAGACAGTCAGACAGGTTTGTGCTGCAGTGACCAACATTTGTGTGGCTCTGAGTGTTTGTGTCTGTCTGTTCTCATCATGTATTCTGCAGGTGAAGCTGCTCTTCATCAGGTCTCTGGTTCTTGCGTGTTCTTCCCCTGAGTCTGCGTGATATTCAGTCAGAGCATTCAGCCATCTGCTCTGCGGAGAAGAGCAGACAGAGCAGAAACACAGAGAACAGCAGAGAGACAGAGACACACACACACACACACACACACACACA